AATGCATCATTTCCCTCTACCATATAATAAAGACTGGGGAGGAATGAATTTAGTGGTTCAATTATAATTTTCAGAACACTGTTTCTTTGTTAAAACAGGCATAGGTGAAGAGTTTCTGTACCTCCATATACAAGTTTGTAAAACAGGCTACATTATGCTGTTTTTAGATTAACTGAATTCTAAATAAAAAATCCTAACAAAAACCTGATTCATTTGTAAGGACAAGATTTGGTTTGCTAGATATAACTATGTTATAATGAAATCTAGTTTGATTTTCTAAAATATACTTAGGGAAACATATATCAATAATTGTTTAGACATTTATGAAAATAAAGATTACTTAAACTTCATAAAGCACCCTGGTATGAACACATTATATGTTTACTGTTTTCTAGGATAAAGCAAGGAAGAGGGAAATACACCAGATACATCAATGAGCATTTCAACCTACCCTAAATAAGGTTCTTAATTCAAGATTTTTATACTTGAAACAGGTAAAATTATTTTCAAGAACATCTACCTAAAGTAGGTGCTTCAATTAACATTTTAGGGCCCCCAAATTACATTAACATAAGCAGTACATATGTGACCTTGCCACCAGCAAATACGAATTTTCATGTTAGTTTACAATTAGGCATGTCAAAATCTGGGTCATGTTCATTATGAACATGACTTTATGTTTCTATTTTATGTACACCTATTTTATGTATCACATCATTAAAGAAGCAAAGACATTAAATTTGTTAAGTATTTTGATATCTGTTTTTATATGATCAGTTTCCTTTGTAATCCTACTTACACTCGGCAGGGTAAAACATTGTTCTGAGAATTCCACCCATAGATCTCACACCTAACAACTAGGAAGTACATGGCACAAAAAAGGTTACAAATCCTTGTTCTAAACCTGCTATAAATCTTAGAAGGGTTAAGTTTAAAATGATTTATAGTGATTAGATAAGCAATTTAACTATCCAAAACCCGAAGTAGCCCTAGGGACCATTAAGTTTGCGATGAAGTAAATAATAATGACCTTTTTCATATTTCAGGCTGCTCTTTATTATGTATCAATATCTCAATATAGCTGATATTAACAATTTTATGAAACCAACTTATTATACCAACTCAAAGCCATAATTAAAAGGATATAGGACTCAAGAAGTAATTATTAATTTCCAAACCAGATTCCCTCATGAAATCATAAATAATGCTACAAGTTTTAGCAAATAACTCAAAACCAAGAAAAGTGTTATCTGTTGCCTATTTGAAAAAGCCAAGATAAAAGCGCAAAATGTACAGAAAAATTTGTGCCAACACTAGATCTCTGATTCAATCTTCATAATCATTAGTATTATCTGGGATTCAAGTCTGGCCTCCAAGGCCTGCATGACCTGACAATGCACAGATTTCCTTTCCCTAAGACTCTTGTCAGCCTATTATCACACCACAGTTGTTTCCATCTCCATACATACCTCCACTTTCTTATATGGAGCAACATACATTCCACCTGCCCTCAAGTTATATCTATGCAACCTTGGTTCTCATTCCCCTCCCCTGGTCTCATAGCTTTCCTGACCAACCAAGTTAGTACTCAGTTCCTCAATGGCTCCATAACTGTTATATTTTTCAAAAGTCTTACTGTTCACTAAGGGCAGAACCTAAAGTTGATTAAAGAACACGAAGTCAAAAGCTAACTGGTTAATATGGGTAAGAGAATATCTAAAACTGCTACTAAACTAACATGCAACTCAAAAAGTCAAACCATGATAATGAAGTCATTTCTTCTTAGAAATGTCTTGTCATTTGCCTGTAAGGCAGAAAAGCAAAGTAAAATACACAATGCTATTCAACCACACAAGTCACTTTTTTCCCAATTTTAACCACCACCCAGGGTGAGTGATTCTACATTATCAATTGACATATTACCTGTTAATTCCTAATTTCAAGACATTAGTTTTACTATTTTCCTTCACTGGAATTTCCATTCTTTTCCCCATATACGTAAGTTTTTCAAGGCACAGTTCAAGATCCACCCCTTCCATAAAACCTTCCTTTCCCCAGAGAATAAGATTACACTCTCCCTAATTTAACGTTTCCAAGACAAAGGCAAAAATGGTCTCATCACTTGTCATGGAGTACATTTGAGTGATTAAATAAATCACAATAACTAAAAACCACAGGGAGGGGAGTAAAGCTGTTCCAATCATGAAAGATATGCTCGACTATAGTTGTGAACAAAAAATGCAAATATAAGGTTATAATTTACAGTTCACAAATCTATGATAACCCTGAGGTTATCCAAAACACTGGTGGCAAAAGAATTATGTACATTATTCTGATGATAGGACCAGGGCTTTTGACCAGATGGCAATATTGGGCTGTGACCCCAAAAATGTTGGCTACTGGTCCAGGCAGTAAATTTCCCAGATTATCATCCAGGTCTAATTATTTGGCTATGAGGCACAGCTGATGGGTTATATCTAATGAACTACATGTCAAAATACCTAACTAGATAATCTGTGAGTGGCCTCCAGACCTCTTAAAAGTTTCAAATTTTTATTTTTTAAAGCATACTAAAATATACGGAATGGTCTGAGTAATTAGAATAAAGCTACATAAAGGTACCGAGAAACTTGGTCTGCTAAAGCAAAGCAGAGGACATAGAGGGGGAAAAGGCCCAGATCTTACCCTCAAAGAACTTAAAATCTACCAAGGGCTATTACACAAGTAATTACAACAAGGCAGAAGGTAGTCACAACTTCTTTTAAGTTCAAAGAGAGAGACATGACAACTTTTTGATCTGGAGATGAAGAAAGGCAACTGTACTAGACACTGAAGAATGAGAAGGATTTAAATTAGTAGAAATGGAAAGGTGGGTGAAATGTGATGAAAATCAAGGGTAGCAAAGACTGAAAGGATAAAATATAAGAACACCAATTTCCCATGAAAAGCATCCTTCCTTCTTAAGAAATGGATTCTATGCAGGAGCCCTTGCAAATTTAAGGGCCTTGAAGCTACTTAGAAGTCTTGGGCCAATGGTTTCCGGGCATACTATCAGGGTGCATGGGATTAAAAATAAATAAATAAAAACCAAAAATCACATCACACAACAGTGATACACACACACACACACACACACACACACACACACACAGCAATATACCTAATGTTGCAGTCCAGTTGTATATGGGAAGCTATAATATAGTAACTTAACTTTGCTTTCAAAAATTGCTGAAATGGGATAGGTTTATAAAACTGTGGTGTCTTTGATGTAACTGTTAAGTACTTGTGAGTTTGCCCAAAAAAAAAAAAAGAAAAGAAAAGAAAAGGAAAGATATGTTTTGTTTCTGTTCAAGTTGTATTATTCCGCATCCCAAAAAAGGATAAAATTTTGAAATCAGGAATGAATAAATCAAAAGAGAATCCCAACTCTGATAATGAAATAAAGAAAAAGTAAACGAAAGAGAATCAGATTTTTGTTAGAGACTGGAGACAGAAGCACTTCTTAAAATAATCAGAGTTAGACTGGGTTAGACTGGAATGGAAGCTTAGAACCCAGAGTTCTAAGGGTTGTCATGAAAGTTTAGACCAAAGAAAATTAAAAGAAAGAATTCAAATAAAACTTCTTGATACAACTAGGTTAGATGAAACTGATTAGGAATAGCCTATATTCACACATCTCAATTTACATACAGAAATTATCAAATTAATAGTCTAAAAAGGACAAGTTGAAGTATACATAAAAATAATTTTTCCCGGAGAGTTTGCTGATGGGGTAACAAAATATTTTGAAATATAATGCATATTCAGCACCTGAAGAAATTTGTGGCATCATGCCAGATATTTTGAGGATTCAATGTGAAAGGACACAATAGTAAAACAAGCGTGTTTCTTATAAGGAACAGGAAAAGAACAGGAAACCAATTCTTACGAAGTGGGCAAAGCCACACCTCTCTGGAAAGTGAATTTGCTAATTAAACATCAGGTAGCCACAGAATGTTCATATTTTTCTTTCTGAAAGCTCTACATGATCAATTTTGTTATCCAGCATCTATCAGTCAAAATTTTATTAACATCAACTATTTATGACAACTAGTAAAGGGATGTTACGGTATGGTACAACTGGTCTTCAAAGAGTAAACATCAATTTCCCCCATAGATATAGAAATTTCTAAGCTTTGAAATGAAATTTTAGCTTTTTAAAACTGGGAATTTACATTTATGTTCTAGTCTAAAATTAAGTAGTATCAGAAATTCATAGCCCATCAAACAGCTTTCCAATCATGAGAGATAGCATGTGGTGCTTAACCAGATAGGATAGCTACCTGCCTCCTTTCTGTAATTTAATTGACAGCTGATTTTCCTTAAAAAAAAGGGGGGGGGGCAAGAAAAGAAATAAAAAGAAGACTCCGTAAACCCTACAGTCATACTATGCCTTCAAAACCATAAGGTACAGATAAAAAATTTTCTAGGACTTATAAATAAAAGAGCCAAGAAATTTCACTGTAGATTTTATGTTGAGTGATTTGAATGTATTTTCCCCAATCACATTCTAAATCTTTTGAAAGTATGAGGTACATTTTATTCTGTAGTAACTCAATTAAAAGACATGACCAATAAGACCTGGCACTGGACTCCTTACACAGGTAGATAACAGAATTTACTATTTTAAAAGCAAAACAAACCAACAGCATCGCAATCACATTAATCTTCAGATAAGCTTAATTAAACATCCAAAAGAATTTTGCACCCATTCCCTGAGACCTGGAGTGACAGAAAAGCTAAAGAACATGTAGAGCAGGATGAACTCTTGCTGGTAAGTTAGACAAAAACCAGCTTCTTGAGGGGAAGATACAAAGGCTTTATAAACCCACTTCACAGTTGGGCAAGCTAGTGATAGCCTACACTGAAGCCACCCTCCTCCCATTCCCCATTCTTAGTTACTTGATTAATGCACTGGTTGGAAGGGAGAGTAGAGAGAGTGACAGAGACACACACAGTACCTGTTGTTGAGAATTGTAGTCAAAAAGTCCCACAGTTGCTGCTGCTGAGTCCACAGGTACCTGCGTGCCTGAATAATCAAATTGAAGAGGCTCCATGCCCACATGTTCCATGGGGTCCAAGGGGACACTCTGGGACTCCATGTTGGAGAAATCCTCCACAGGCTTGGCACCATTGGTGCTGGTCAGCTGGGCTAAGCCCTCAGAACCATTCTGGTTTGGACCCAGAAGATCCACTTCATTAGCAGAGTTCTGGCAATTACCAGGGGTACGGCTAAACAGAGAAAGTAAAGGGCATTAAACCTTTTTTTGTGTGGGGGAGGGACACTACAGCAACCCAAGTTTAAGGACAATTCCCTAGACATAGTTCATTATCAATAGTAATAGTACTTAAGTCTGTTTCTACAAAATAACCAAATTCTTTATGGTGCTTTTCATGCTATAACCTGTAAAATGACTCTTCTATTGCTTGCCTTCCCACCACAACCCACCCATTATATTTCTATTAACTGATTAATTTATAGTCCCTTTATCCAAGAGATCCAGATTAGAGAAACATTGGATGAACTGGAAAAATCACCACCTATGGCATCCATGACAACAGAGATCCCAAAACACAAACAGTAAAATATTCCCCCTAAAGGCAACATCTATCTACTCCTTAAACAGAGCCAATAGAAAACATAATTTCTAAGAAATTCCACATCTGAGACTAAATCTATTTAAAAAACTTTTATGTATTATTGAGATACTACTGACCAATGCTAAAACTGTCTCCCCTACAACCTTCCTAAGAAACCAGAAGACCATTACAAAATAGTACAAAATAAATTAATTATCTAGGATATGCCCCTGCTAAAGAGATAATTCCAAGAATTAAAACTTATGTGAGGATATAGTATATCCAAACCACAATACTTTTAAAAAGAAAGGGGACACTATTAATAAATATTCTGGGACACAGGTATAAAACAAGTACTGTCCTGGGTAATCCAGAACACATTATCACCCTATGTGAAAGGACTATAGGATTATAAGATCCCATGTCAGACAAATGGAGACTATCCTAGTCTCAGGAGAGTTCAGCCTAATGACTACATTCTTCATGCCTAAAAGAAATTCTGTATTGGGTACAAATTAAAGCGATTGTCATGTTCCTTCTCACACATACGCACACAAAGACAGACACCCACCACATCATCACTAGCAACATCACCACCACCGCCATCACCACCACCATGTGGACCCAAAATCAAATACCATAATGCTCCATGCTCGAGATTTAGGGTGGAAGCACCACCCAAACTCATCTGAAAGACCTTAGGGGTTCATGTTCATTAATCACTACCTCACAGTGTTCCACAGACTAACTGTATACACCCACAAAACACAAAAATTAGATGTGAAATGCTAAGCAACTGAATGTTCTACAAATGGTAATCTAATCTAAAATACATTTTAATTTTTATTTTGGGGTTTATATTAGGGTTAAGATGGGAATTTATATTCCCATCTGTATGTACACAGACACATTAATTTTAGAATAACACAAATTATCCAACATTAAATTTTAACCTATATATCACTGACCAAAGATTTTTATATTTTTAAAGTTATATACCACCACTAAATGTTACCTATATAAATGAATATTTGCCAAATGTGAGTGACAACTGTACAATATTATTTTATGCTGTGTATATTAATTTAGAGGGTAAACCTGCTTATCAATCATAACCAGAGAGATGGAATGAGAGGCTTTCCTGGTTCTTCAAGTCGGGAAAATGATACCTGACCCATCTACCTCAAAGGGAGCTTAAGAGTGGCAACCGAAATAATACGTAAGTCCTTAACTGATTTTCCCTCTACTCTAATACCCCAAAGGGTTATGATGTACTGCCACTACTATGATTCTCTAAGATGGTGATTTGAGAGAAACTTGGGGAAAGTCCCAAGACACCCAATTCCAGGATATTTGAGAAACACTGAAAATATCTTTATGGAATCATCCTGCCAAGTATATAGCCCTATACAAATGCAAAATCTATCATTTTGTCAAAGCACCAAGCACTGGTAGCTCTTAGAATATTTCACATTATCAGTTAATTTATAATTTTTTTGGGGATGGCCTCCATTAGAAACAATTATTAAAATGGACACACAAGGAGGGGAAGAAAAATTAAAATTAAAATAAAACTAAATTAAAACAAAAACCCCATAGACCCCATTTAAAAATCAGAAGTGTAAAACATACAAACCTAAAATCTTTGACGTCTGCATCAATCCCATTCTGCACTGGCAAACCATTGGTCTTGTCCATCACATCACCCTCCTCCTTCAAATCTCCTAGCTTATCTCCATCAAACGTACCCTTGTTCTTCTTTTCACCTTTGTCGTTTTCATCACTGTCTGCATCCCTTGGGCCCTGTTTAAAAAATAGCTTCAGCTTCACTAATCATCATTAACTAGTAATAGTGGGCAACCACTATGGACACCAAACTACTCTAAATGCTAATTAAAACAGGACAGTGTCTGTACCCTTTCAAGACATTACAATCTAGTCAACAAACAACACAGAGGCAGAAACACTGCAGAAAGTCTTGCCAAATGGGGGAAGACAGACATACATTTATGTTACAAAGTTTAAGACAGTCTTAACATACCCAATGTCCCACCACCCCATTTTTCCCTTTCTACCAAATGCCCAGCTACAACTTTTTATCTCTAAGCTCTACTTCTCTATTCTCAAATCTATCTCTATACACTAGCATGACTCCTAATAAGACCCAGGTATGGCAGCTAGTAGCATAGAGGGGAAAGTGTTAAACCTACTAAAATAATTTCCTACTTCACCACTGTCCTATGTAAATTCCTCCCATACTTCCATTGAGCTACATGTGAGATGACATCATTCCAATTCAATTATTTTACAGTTTATCTTGGAATATATGACCTGCCAATTTACACCACCGCTACCCCTATATCTCATGCTTTATTCCATCAAAAATTCACCAAACATCCTTTAATTTTTTTAATCCTTCAAATCATGTTAATCTAACTGAAATTCTTTTACTGAAAGTACTCTAAGATATTTATCTGTTGTCTTTCATTATTTACTGTCCCATGCCAGATTATCTTGAGTACATGGGAGAATGTTGAGTTGGAAGTGATTCAACAGGATTTAGCTCTGATGTGTTTCAAACTGCAAAGGTCGAAAAACTGGGCTAAAAGAATTTATATTTTGTCATTTATGCTGATGTGCTGTCTTCTAAGGAAATTATATCTATGTTCTCTTATCAACATCTAAAGTTAAGACTTGAACATAGAAAACAAATGTTTTCTTATTTCCAAAAGGAAAAGAAGATTTAGTATAGTGTCTTATTTCCAAAAGGAAAAGAAGTTTGGTATAGTGTCTTGACCTGTACAGAGAGCTCTGCAGAATCTTACCAAAGGATAAGTAACTTTTACTTATCTAAAACTAGAGAGAGGCACCACTGGCTCCTGGTTTAACGAAGAAACAAGTACACCTGGACCAAGTTAAAGTTCCTAGTAAAAGGCAAGATGGAATCAGAAGATGATGAGAGCTGTCGTACTGCATTTCCAGGCACCAAAACCACATTTCACTGGGGAAAAAGCAACATTGGAGGCAGAGCAACACTTACATGGCAAGCAAGTATGTAGGCCTGCAGATGTAAAATAAACAGATGCTCTCAGGGTAATTCTTAGAGATCACTGCTCTACAAAGGTAATTCATGAATCCTTTCAACTACCAGTACAGAGCCCATTTTGGTTTCACATTCATTTTCTGTTCAAATGAAACAGAAAAGCAAAGATTTCACGGCTAATGTGTACAAAGGACCACATGTGAGAAGGAACTTAGAAAAAATACACAACTCAGTTTCAAGTGGCATCAAAATGATAAATTATGGTTTGGGTAGCCATTAAAATATGACTTTCAAAGCAGAATCTTCAAAGTGTCTTCAAAATTTAAGGTTGTTATTGGTTCAAAAGGAGAGAATGATAGCAAATTAAGCACCACATTGAGGTATCAAAACAGAGATGGAAATATGACAGAAAAGATCTTATTTAAGCTCTCCAGAGACAGCAGCTCCCTCCTACTGCAACGTAAAACTGAGAGAAGTTGTGTATTCACTGTCATAGCCCCACCACTGAACTCAAATGCCTGGCATTAGCTCAGAGTATATGAAAGGAAAAAATGATTTTTAAAAAATCCTGCAAAACCAAACTGCTAAAAAGAAGAAGGATCTATCCATTATTGGTATCAGATAACAGTACAAGAGGCTGTGATACGGTTTAGATGACAATTCCACCTGATTTAGACATCATTTATATCAATAATAAGAGTATTACAAGGATCATTCCACTAAACACCTATATAATCTTAGCTAAATGAAAGGGGGGGAGAAAAAAAAAAATCAAGTCACTAGAGCAGTTCAGTTCTAATTCACAAAAATTTGTTCAAAGATCTACTGGACAAATTAGAAGGAAATGGGATGAAGAAGCAGTAAGAAGTTTCACCAACAAGCAAGAAATCTGGCTGACAGGAATAGTTATTTGACTCATCAAATTAACACTGATATCTTTCCTCAGTGACCCTTTATAAGGACTTCCTTGAAAGCTGCTTAGCCCATCTCTAAGCCAATGCTCCGGCAGGAAATCTTAGGCACTGATATTTATGTTTCTAATTATAATTCCAAGGGCTACATTTTTAAAGATGCCCATGGGATGAGCTATTTTTCATCAATACTATGTAGAACATTCATATAAAATTGCTACCTGGTTTTCTACTCTGAATAAGCAATTAATGCCTCAGCAGAATAGTAGGCTCCTTCTATTCAAAAGAGGGGGACCAAAGGGATGCTTTTATTTCTTGATCCAGTTGGGCTACATGGCTTTATTTTGCAGAAATTCATGAAGATTTCTGTACACAGCTAATAGTTCAATATAAAGTTTACCTTAAGGAAAAAATTTCAGTCAATCAACCACAACCCTAAAGAGTCAGATTTCTGAATGACACCAAGAGCACAGTGGGAAGCCATTCTCCCAAGTCTGTTATTAAAAGAGAATACAAGGGTTTGTGACCATAGAAAGAAATGTAAAGAACCTGGACAGAGAAGAATAGAGACTATGAGCTGGTAATTCTTACAGGGTTTTTAAATGTCTTTAACATTTAAGTATTCACAGCTATGTGGTCTTTAAGAAATACTAATCCAGACCAAGGAGAACCTACATACTATGTCAACTACTAACACTTCTAGTTAACAGGACATTGGACAGGTCATTAAACCTGAGTCTTAGTTTTCTCCTCTATAAAGCAGGAATAATTTTGTTTACAACAGAGTAGTTATGAACATCAACGAAATGATGCATGTGCATAATCATTTTTTATAAAGCATAAATCATCTTATACAAATATATTAGTAAAAGCTATAGCTTTCTATAGATGCATTGGATAGTATTTTCGTAACCTTACCTAGGACATCAAGTTTATTCATCTTAAATCCCCTACTTAGGTGGTTTAACGCAAGTAAATGTATAGTCAGGGACTCTCCCAAGGACACTGTCAGTTTTCACAATACAAAATGCTTGACTGTTTGGCATCAAACATTGCAATCTGATTTAATTGGCCCATAGTGGCTCCCATAAACATTACAAAAAGCTTCTCCAGTAACTCCAATAAGCACTCACGATTGAGAAATCCTATGGCTGAATCTAACATAAGGCTCATAAAAGTAGACTTTATGTTATGCTTTTTTGTCACATTACCTAGAACACAACAGTACTGAAAAAAGTCTACTAGCTAAATGAAAGGAGAAAAAAAGGGATTAAAAGCATGGTTTCATTGTGGATTTCTACAGGTGAATGTTAACCCAAAGTTGCAGTACTCAAACACAGGCTTCAGCTTCAGAAAGTGCTCACAATGCAGGTGGCTCAATAAAAATCTCAAGAGTGAGGTCAAGAAGGTTTCTGAGAAATGCCACATCTATATAGATGGAGAAATCTGTTCCACTACTAGACATCAAAAAAAACTGAGTGAATAGATGGACAGAAGACAGATTGCAAAGACAAGAGTCCATCCATTTTTGGCTCAACTTCCTCAAAAGCCTCATATAATAGGGAATACCTATTAATTCTGAATGAAGACAGAGAAATGAGAATTTAATTTCTCCTCTTATTATAGTGATTTTACCAGATGGCAGAAGTGACATTTAATGAGATTTTCCTCCCTTCTTTCCAAAAAGGAATTATTTTGCCTATCTGCTTTACATACTGCATCCAAAAACCTTAACACAAATTACAATAATGGTCTCTCCTATGTGCACTTGCCTGTTTTTCACAAAATGCTAAAAAACTAAAATGTCGATTTCCTTTAAAGATCACCTTACAGCTCCACTGGCAATAAAAAATTTCTTATATTAACACTGAGTAAAAGTTTAAAATGACTAGTCATATGAATTATACTTTTTAAATTTATCTTACTGTGAGGCACTCAACTAGTAAACAGGCCAGTAAAGCATAGTAGAAAGCAATATAGCTAAGATCTAAAACAGTCAATAGAACAAAGTTCAAATTCAAGTCCCAGCACTTCCCTTCTAATCCTCATTTTTTTCTCATCTATAAATTCAGAGACAAACTATCTACCTCAAAGGATTGTTTTAAGCATTAAATAAGGTAAATTATGAAAGTGCATTTTTTTTAAATTGTTAAAACTACTTTATCCAGTTTTCACACCCCACTCCAAGCCTTTTTTCAGACACACCCACACCGCCCACATTCCCCCAAAGCTTCGAAATCGCTAGACATCCTTTGTTTCCCCCAAGAAAGAAATTAAGGCTCTAATCATTAGGTTTCTTTTCCTCTGGTTTTTCTAAGATGTAAGTAATAAATCAAGCTGTAGACTAACACATTTCATTGAATCTGACATCACTTTATAAGACACATTATTTTATATGCTGTTAAAAAGGAAATGACTGGCCTGGCAATTAAACTATGACATACTATGACCTTAAAATGCATCCCAATTTAAAATGATGAAAGTGGGGAAATGTGCATTTCAGAAACAGTGAAACATGGGACATGTCAAGCACTGTACATATAATCACTCGATTTCTGGTATGCAGAAAGGTAAAGAAAGTGTTCTCCTTTGCTGTGAACCATCAGATTCAGGAAAAAAAAACAAGAAATCTTAAATGTGTAGAATGGTGTTTTTTGTTATTACAGAGATGGAAGCGAAAAGATAAGATTTTCTGAATTATTGTAATCTTTGTATCTAGTCAGTGTCTAAAAGCTCAATGCCACCAAGCAGAGCTTATAGATTTCTTGCTCAAGGGAAGCTCAAATCTGAAAGATTCCTGTAATGAACATTTCTGAATTTGATCCATAGCATCCTGGTGATTTTATCTTCCAACAAAATTGTTTTATAGCACTATTTACCAAACCTTAATGTGTATACAAATCACCTGAGGGTCTTGTCAAAATGCAGATTTTGATTCAATAAGTCTGGGTAAGATCTGAGATTCTGCATTTCTAATAAGCTCTCAGGTGATTGTAATGTTATTGTTCCACGGACTCTGTGGAGAAAGATTTTATAAGGTTTACAAACCATTTATTTACACACACACACACACACACACACACACACAATAGCCATATGAATCAGACTTTGTGAGTTGTAATTACTCATTTTTCAGATGATGAAATTAATGCCCAACTGAGATTCAAGCCCCCAACATCTGCCTGCATCACACTGCAAAAAGTTCTTATATAAAATCAGTTACGTAGTAATTGCTATCTAAAACAAATGCAGTGGGGGGGTGGGGGGCGGGAGGGGAAGGATTGGGGTCAGAATGGGGCGTTTGCAATTGTATGGGGGAATATAAAAATAAAATTTAATATTTAAAAAAAAAAAAAACAAAAAAAACAAATGCAGTGAAGACTAGCAAAGTCAAGTTTTGTGACTCAAACAATTGTTCTGAGTGGTCATAATGCAACCAGTCTTTACAGACAAGTAGAAAGGCTATCCCATGATATCTTTTTTTTTTTTTAATTGCTCTTTCAAAGGGTTAGAGAGGTCTTTACCCAATCAAAGTCTAGGGTGGTATTCTCATTTCCCTAGGCATAACAAACAAAAATGGCAGAAAGTATGATGCACTTCTCTTGTAGCAAGGCTTCAATCTATTTGAGGACCTACAGCAAAGTCCTTCAATGGCTAATTTACATAATGGATCTAAAAATACAGTAGTAATATGTGATTTTACAACTCCTTTAAACCATGCTTGGAGTTGGGGGGGGGGCTGTCTTATTCCAGGTGAAAGGGGGGAATACAAAATGAAAACAAAATTAAAGACTTGATTCTGGTGTAAGTGCTATTCTGAGTTTTCCTATTATTTTGAAAACTTCTGCCCTTAAGTATGTGATTTGCATGTAAAATACAACCAAAACTTAACCATGGATGCTAAGCCTGAAAGTAATCTTATCATAGAGGCCGAAACTACTAAACTGAGAAGATTTGTACAATCAAAGTAAACTAAAGAAAATCCAGGAAAGCTGAACAAAGAGTTAAATATCCTCATTCAAGCTGTAACTAGGAAACAGCCTTACTGAAAATGGAAACCCATTTAGAACGGTAGATTACTTTAGTTCTAAACCACCTTCAACTGAAAAAGTTAATCGGAGTCTGGATTACCAGTGGTCAGTATCTGAGAATGACCCGTTAGTGCTTGCTTTCAGGTCTCAGGAGAATAAAATAGAGCTGTTCCATGGCTTACTAAAGGGAAGTGTTGGTACAATCAAAAAGTAAAAACATCTGGATGCTCTGACCCATAAATCAACAAGTACTACTCTTCAGAAAGAGCAGATATTTTCTCTTGTTTGGACTCTGAACTCAACTCTCTGAATAACAGAGTAGATCTGGAAAAAAGGGGGGGGAAATCTCACCTTTTCCAAGAAGATGCATACAATATTATGATAAGCATTAAGTGATTCATGTGTCCCTGACCACAGTTTTGCTCAACTGTCATCCTAACCAACAGGCAGAGGAAAGCCAGAGTCATAAGAACAGCAGGATACAACCACAGAGCTGAAAAATAGTTCACCAATAATCAGGCCTGCATCCGCCAAAAGACTGGAGACACCAATATGAACAGTCTTCCTGTATTATCCTCTAGATGCAACTCAAAATATACTTCATTACCCACAACCTGGAAGCTGAAACACAGACTTGGAGACTTCGCCTTTATTTTTATACAAATCTCAGAAACTCAACAAATAACCTGTTAGTTTCATTTTCTGACCTCTAGCCTTAAGCTTTAACTCCCTCTGGTCACAATTAAGTAAAAGAGTTAAAAATCAGTCTCCATGGACACTATAGATGAAAGCCACTTTTACTAAATGAATGAATGCAAGACACAGAATGTAAAAGGTAGTTTTGTCATAAAAATAAGTCTAATAAAATAACTTTTAAAAAAAGAAAAAGAAGCAGTAATAGTAATTCATCTCAGCATTTTATCTTTCTCCTAATTCCAATTATTTTTCTGCCTCCACAAACTTCAGAGTAACTGAGGTACTTGCCTCCTGGCTAATGTACAAGAATTTGAAATCAGTCACACAAGACAGAGAATTCACAGCAAGAGTGATACAGGTTCCATTTCCCCACACTAAGAACTTACCTATGAATGATGCAAACTTTTCTCCCATAGTAGCTGAAAGTAATAAACAGTAACCAGAAGGCAACACTTCCTCTAATGAATCTGCACTCATGAGATGAAGAAAATGAGGACAGAAAAGGAGGTATGTTTGGAGATACAGTCAAAGAATAGAAGTATAAAGTATAATCTTCCCGTGACACAATGGACGAATACTCATTTGGCATGATGCTGTTCATCACACCCAAAGGGGAGATCATGTTCTTTCCAAGCAGCCTCTTGGAAGGTTCAGTAAAAAGAACCCTTTTCCTTTATGATCCACTAAATCTGACCTATGTCCTTCCTTGCAGGATCAAAAGACACAGAAGCATTCAGGTCATCATTGGAATGATTAGTAATACTAAAGACTTAAGACAAAGTCCCAGTTTAATCCCCTAATCTTACTAATTGTTATAAAAATAAATGCTCTTCTGACTAAATTCCTCAACCTTCTAGGTGTGGAACTGGGAAAAATCCAGTCTCCTGAATTCAAGTTCATTTCACTTTACTTTGTTCAGTTTTTCTGTGGAATTAAATGCTCTAACCACTTATCAAGTGTCACTGTTAGGTGAAGCGTCATCTTGACATGCCTAAAGTAAAGCTAAATGCCATGTAACTTCTAGTGACAAGTCACCTGTCCTCATCCAATCAAGCCAATAACATTCTTTTAATAATGTCTACTAACATTATCAAGTAACTGCAACTGACACTTGAGGAAGCTGCACTGAAAAATGAACTAAAGGAAGTTTAAAGTAGAAGGATACCTAGCAACAGATGAATGACCCCCCCCAAAAAAAAAGAATCAACACCAAATGTTATAAAATAAAGATAATAAGACAGTTACAGAGGCTATCAATATCATTTGGGAGGAAGAAGGTCCCACAAATGACTCCCAACAGGTAATATTAGCCCAAAAAGACTTCAGGGAGAAGGGGTTTGGTAAGTGACAAAACAAGTTGAATCAGGAGGTAAAAGAGGAAAAGCAGATTCAGGATGCCTCTCCAGACCTTCCTGGCTGTGACAGGAATATATATAAACCAGTCACAGAATAAGGAAGATTCAAGTGGAAATGCATGTCAAGACCTCTAGGTCTAGAAAGCCAGTGATATAAGAAAGAACTAGTTTTGAAAAATGCTATCAAGTATCAAAGATGCATTAGGAAGACTGCATTTTTATACAAATCTCAGAAACTTAAGAGGTAATAAGGTAGAGACAGAATAATGATGAATCCAAAAAAGGGCAGATAAAGAGTTAACATACCATCTAATTTCCTGCTTGGGTGTGAGAAGCAAAGTTATTCAAGGAGGGTCAAAGATTTTTCCATAGTTAAAACCTACCCAGAGAAACAAGAATGATCCTACATATTTGATCCTTTTTAAGGATTCTTGGGCAAATGCTCTCAGAGGTCTGAAATCCCTCCTGATATCTGATATCCTAGTTGTTGCTTTCTTATTTGTATTCCTCTTGTTTTTACTATTTCTTTTTCTTTCTTCCTTCTTTTTTTTTGCCAAATTAAAATGGTGTTTTCTGGTTGATCAATGAACAGAGATCTAGTCTTCATTTCTTAATCACATTACTCAATGTCCCCAAAAATCATTTCTCTATTTTTAAAAAGTTTAGTTTACATCTCCTACTGTATTTACTGAGATCTGATTACAATAAAGTAGTTTAAAATACCCTCTAATTATTGCTATAAATATCTAAGGAAACTAAACAGGCATGTCTTGCTTTATGGGGGTAAAAAGAGAGAGATATAGGAACAAGTTCCTCGAGCCAACTTACAAATCCTCCTTTTCTTAGACAGGAATCGCCCGGGGATGAGCTCAACACATACTCCACCATGCTAACGCCTAGTCCCCCACTCTCCGACCGTGGGGACAGTACAGAATTGACCTCACTGTTCACATGGAAACTCTGACCAGGTCTTCTCTGCACCATGATTGGCTGGGAAACTGAATGATCTACAAAAAAGATACACAAGCATGATACAGTGCAGCCAGAGGCTCAAACAAATTATGAGTGATGTCTCATGGATAAACCAATGACTAGGAATCAGGAAACCTACATGGTCAGTTGAGCCAAAACCTCCTTTTGCGTTTTCCCCAAAGTATAATATTCTACATGAGGTAAGGAAACTAAACACACCCTCTTATATCCAGGATAGCAGAGCAATACAGCAGTTCATGTAACTGGTTTAATCTAGTTTAGTGGATAAAATTAACAATTACCCTTTTCAAGAATTTCTTTTTAATATACTTTATTAGTAATATTACTATAACAAAATGTGGTTTTACTGCCCTTTTTAGAATCAACAACATAATTTGATCTTTTCTGATGACTCAGTGTCATCTGAGATTCCATTCTTACATTGCGCTGTAACAGCACATCAGCTTTGGGATTTTCTGTCCCCTTCCTTCCTTATCACCTGTCATTTCTGTCTGCTGTCAGTGTTTCTACCTCTAAAATTCTTCCCCTCCCATCTCAAAGGTAGTCTGTCAGAAAAGCACCTGTGCCCAGTGACTTTAATTGGCCCAACCACATTTATGGATTGGTCATCCCATACAAAGTACACGGGGGTAAAGGGAGGTAAAAGAAACATCAACTTCAAATGGCAGGCATGGATTTTCTAATTCCAAGTATGCTGACAACAATACAGAACAAGAAGTTATACCTGAAATTATGGTCATTTCAAATAAGACCATTTCCCTGTGGCTAGCACTTCAATAAAATACTGGAAGACTTGATTTTGTGTTAATTGTATTTTAATAAATTACATCATATAAGCTCCTTCATGGCAATTATACTACAAGACAGGACATTGCTTGACATGCTTGTGTCACTGAAGTAAAATTCATGACTTGCCAATTGCTGAGGAAAGGAGCTCTAAGACAGGCATAAATCACAGTACAGATTGCTAGATCTAGATTACCTGATGTTCCCCAGGCACTGTCTCGCCATTGATCACCCAGGAATATTCCTTTTGGTCCATCTTTGCTGGATTCATCTGTTTCCCAAAACTTTTTACCTGGCAAGAGCTGCTGCAAATTAAAAATAATAGATGCTTTTAAAGAATTCATAAAGGATGAAAGTACAGCAGTCAACACTTTCTTTTAGACACGGGTACTGAAGATGCTCACGTGCCCTGAAGGTCTTTAATTACAGTGTTCTGACTACACAGACTGTGGCCAGAGCACTACTATGTATTTGGTAAAAGACACAAAGTCCTAAGGCAGGGGGTCTCAGCTTAAATATCTAAAATTATTCACTTAAACCATGCCAAGATTTTTAAATGGGAAAGGAGAACAATATTAGATCTATTAACTACTGCTTGATAAGAAGAAGTATCTACGATTACCAAAACGCTTCTGCCTGCCTACATGTATGTATTCTAACTGACCACAGTTATTCAACCTGGACCATGAACTCAGACCCCAGCTATGGAATGCTAGAGGCGACCCCCCCATCCTTCATACACAGAGATTCTGTTAACTAAAACGCTCTCATGACCAGAAAGAAAAAAAAAAAAAAAAAAAAAACTTCCCAACCACAATATTAACCTGGTGCAAGATTTTGGAAAGACAGGACAATTATTCTCATTTCTGGAAGGGAAATAAAATCTCCTAACCTCAGTTCATTTAAACAATACCAAGTTATGTCATTAAAGTGATTTCACAAGACAGTCTACATTTCAAGGAAATGTAGGGATCGCGCTGGGCTGTACCAATATGTGAACTTTAAACTAGTTTCAACTAAAGAAATTCAAAGTACCCTTCATACAAAACAAGTACAAGATCAAAGATCTAGTGATAGGGTTACAAGGTAAACCCTCATTAGATTTTCAATCATTCTTCATGGTAGTCACCAGTTTTACTCACTAAATTGTCCTTCATATTTCTTCCTGTGATTATATTTTCCTTTCAGCTGTTACTCTGAAAACAAACTTTTAAGTTTGAGATTGCACTTAATCACTGCTTTTGAGCATAAAAAAGCTCACCCAGAGAGCGGAGGAACAGAACAAAACCAAAGCACAAAACATTTGCTCTCCTCCTTGACAATAAAGATTTATCTTTCCAATTTATAACCCAATGACAAAGGAGGAGCAACTCAACTTTGCCCTCATAGTCTGGGTTTCTCAGCATAATTTTAATCTAGCTCTATAAACCTGTCTGGTGATATGGGCTACTACCTGCACCAAGCAGTTTCCCATATATTTTTCTCTTCAGGATGTCTGCTGTTTTGTAATTCCACAAGATCATGAGAGAAGATATATTCTGATCTGACATTTAATTGCCCAGTCCCTTAGATTTACTTGAAGATGAGTAGTTATAAGCAGTCAATTCCTAATGTGCCCCTCAAGTGTACTCTTTGATGGAAATAAGGACAAGCCGGTCTGTTCACCTGAAGGCAGATGGAGGGGACAGGATGGGAGCAAAAGCCCAGACCTTAAATAAGCAGTGCAATCAGGAAGCCCTGGACTAGACAACTTTGGTGTGTCCTAGGACAAAGTGCTGTACTCCCTTAGGCCTCATTCTCTTTGAAGGAAGTATTTTTCAGGTTGTAACAACAGAGATAAATGCCCAGCACAATGCCTACCACATAGTAGGATTTCAATGAATATATTCAGTGACAGCACATCAGGGCAAAGAAGCTGCAAATTACAAAAGGGACAGAGAAAATTAATATGTACTACAAGTTCAATTCAACAATTCTTTTTTTTTTTTTTACTTATTTTCTTCCTATTTAGTCTCAAAATGCCCTCTCACAGTATTACAAATAAAATTTTTCCTTGATAATACTCTTTCCGACTAACATTTTCATTTTTCTCCCGTATTCTGTAGGCAGTGCGAGCAAACAGTAACCTAGACAAACTTTTCTTGTATGTACCATTAAAATATAAGCACAAGAGACACCTCACTTGGTTAATTTTACTCTCCACATAATGGTGAAAAGAGTAAAGATGATCAAAAATATTCATCACAGTGTTCAACCCTCTCTACACAAATTTGGAAATCTTTATTCAAAATCCAGGGATGAGTTTCTATAAGTAACAGCCTCCATGTGCAAACATAGTCTGTCCCTAATTTGTCAAACTGCTTACTGAAAGCGGCAGCCCTTGAACTCAAGGTTTTCAAAATGACTGTTGGGAGTCTGTCCTCTTCCACGGTAGCTTGCTAGGTTGTCATAACATGCAAAGCCAGCCAAAGCAGGTGAATATACAAGCAAGGCTGTTTGAGATGAAACTTTCTTACAAGGAAGTAACAATACAGCAAACATGTAGCAAGGTGCTAAGAAATGGCTATCTTACTTCAATGTAGTAACAGACTCAACAAGTTTCAAAAAATACACCCAAAAAGTCCAGAGCCTTGCCAAACACCAGCCATAGCTCCCACTATTAACAGCTTAAATAAAAATCCTAAATAGATGCTACAAACAGCCCAAACAGTAGAAGAACTCAATGTGCTTTGGCAAAGTGTGCTGAGAAGAACTAAGTATTATCAATGATAACAGCAGAGGCTAAAAAGGCAAGTTTGTTAGAGATAAAGACAAAGATGGGCAAAGAGGGTGGCAGCATGTTGATTATGGGAGGAGAAAAAAGGTGGAACCTATGAGCTGCAAGAGTGTTCTGCAAATGGGAAGGAAAGTAAAACACTAAAACCAAGGTACTTGGGCAAAGATAAAAACAAATTTAGCAATGCTCTCAGTCTCTGGACCTTACTTATATTGAACCTAGCACTTCTCTTTCCTCCAAAACATACTCATGCCACCTCCTCAGACGTAATTACTCAATAAATCTAATGACCTCTGCCTCCCAGTGCTAATGCCCCTATATAACCCCTTTTCCCTACCTGTAGGGCTGGATCCCAACTTGCTTCTAAGGAGTAACACAAACTTTCAAGATCATGTTACAAAAGGCTAACCTCATTAGTGCTTCTACTCTTCTTTTGCCTGTTTGCTGTCATCTATCCTGCTCTCTTCCTTGCTCACTTTGATGAATCTAACTAAGTTGTGCACTGCCCTATAGAGAAGTCCACATGGCGAGGAACCAAAAGAGGTCTCTGGACAACAAATAATTCACTAGGAAATCAGTTCAACAACCAGGTGCACCTTAATCCTGACATTAATGAGGAGAGTGAGCCTAGAAGCAGATCTTTTCCCAAATGAACTTCTGAGATCACTGCAATCCAAGTGAAATCTTGACTGATGCTTTGTAGGGACCCTGAAATAGAAGACCTTGGGAAGTTATCATTGGGTTCCTGACCTGAAAAAACCTATAAAGCTTAAACCCCTGTGTTGTCTTAAGCCATTAAATTTGGGGGTAATTTGTTAAATAGCAATAAATGGGTAATTAATAGGTATGAATGTGGAGGTGTTGTTTTCTTCCATTCAAACATTTAACAGTATTTTCAAGAAATACTTGTTCCATTTCTAATATTCAAAATCCATGTGCTTTTCAATTTGGAAAAAATTGAGTCTGTTCCGTTTCATGCTCTCCCCTGCTACATGTTTGCTGTACTGTTATCTCCTTTTAAGAGAATTTAGCCTAGAAACAGCCTTGCTTATTGCCCTTCTGTATTAAAAATGACTGACTTTTTAAATGTTACAAAATTTAAAAAGTCAAACACATTAAGCTTACTGTGATTTAGCAACAATCACATATTCAAGAGTCAACTAAAATAAAGATATTAACCCTTTGCACTCCGAACCATTTTACGATATTTTGATTTAATTTCTTGTACCATTTCAAGATAAAACTTCAGGGAAACATGCATGTCTCAAAAAGTTGCGTTGAAATATCCTCAATTCCCCGTAATCACTAATAAATTGCAATGTCCCCTGAGAGGGGACATCCGAGTGATATGCTAGAATTCCGATGTCCCCTGAGAGGGGACAGCGGAGTGCAAAGGGTTAACAATTCAAATCTGATATTAAAGAGAGCTATAATCTACTGAACTAAAACAAACTGATAGAGTTTGCAATTGTTATTTCAAACTCAAAAGCAATCCTCTGGAGTTATCATCATCTACAGCATTGGTTAAAACATCGTGGTTTGCAAACCCATTGGCATAAACACCAGGAATGGCCAAATCTTCAATTAAGCCACACCTAAATTCAATCAACAAAAAGTTAAATGCAACTAGTACATGAAACAAAGTTCCTGCCTGCCCCATCAAGAATTTGGAAATAATGACTGTTCTCAAGCAGCACAAAAATAGGTGACAGTAGAGGTTTACAAAAATTCACTTTAAAGACAGGGTATGAAAAGATTAAAAGATTTGACAATTCTAAAGGAAGATAACAGGAATTGGGAATGGGTACAAGAGCACAGGAGACCCAGGAATTTACAAGTCTGCAGGATTATCCAGTTGGCATGTTTGGGGAGAGGCACATGATGCACAAACAAATCTATCTTTATAAAAGCAATTTATGTATCAGGCTAGAGAGTAGCTTGATTACAATAGCCACTAAAAAACATTCAAGTACCTTCCCTGGCTTAGACTTTGCTTACCAAGCAACCTTCTTATGAGAACTTGACTTCCTCCTATGGCCAAGAGTGATCACTGGACAATTATACAGTCCATTTGAGAGTTATTTAGCCTTATAAAATGATAAACTGAGTTTTCTTTTATAATTTAGTCTCTGTGGTTCTGGTCAGTATGGGTCAATCCCTTAATCCAAACATCTCAGAATTAGTAGTCAGGGTCTTTTACAAGACCTACAAACCGAGAATCAGGCCTGGAAAGTCCTACTGAGTCCTAGGGCAAGTTAGGGATAATTAGGCAGTTTCAGGGACAGTGCAGGCAGGGACTTCAGGAGAGTTAAGGAAGCTCCAGAAATAAGGGCAACAAATTCCAAAGGGAACTAATCAAACACCCCAGGACTAGGGATAACAGGGCAGTATGGAATAAAGATGATGAAGAGGAAAAAAAAAGTATGCTAAGATAAGGGCTGGGATGCACAGTCTTAATTCTGGGCACAGAGACATGAAGGCCAATCACAGAGAGACTAATGGAACTTTAGAATAATGAGGGAAAGAAGG